CTTTCCCTGCAAGTAGCACTGGTTTGCCTCTTGAAAGCTCTGTACCAACATTAACTCATGAATCATTTCATTATTTCTTTGAGGAGGTGGCTGTGTGTCTGTTGTTTTGCTGGTGGAAACAGAGCAGTAGTATAGGGAGGTGAACTGATTTGCCTAAAGCCTCACAGTAACACTGCTGGGACAAAGCCTGAATGGGACCACAGAAGTCCCTTGCTTCTGCTTCTCTGCTCTTTCCTTTTATTATATTGCCTCAACAGGACCTCACAAGTTTGAAGACTGTGAAGTACAATGCAGAGTATGCAGCCATTGAGTTCATTTCACAGTGTCTTCTCAGGAGAGATCCAGAACTGCTGCAATATGTCACTTGCTTTCTTTAGGACCTTTGCTCAATCGGTGTGTAAGCAGGAGGTGGATCTCCTTGCAAGATTATGCTGTGGAGTTAAAATGTTACCTGGGCTCTAGGGCAAAGTGGACAAGTTCATCAGAGAGAAGTCTGCAGAGGGTTGCTGAATAAGGAGTAGCTTCCTCTGCCTGGGGAAGTCCCTGAGCAGCAAGTGGGGGAGGCTGGGAGAGTGCAGATGGAGCTATCACATGTGATTCCCTGTCCCTGTACCTTTCTCCGCTTATGTGCTCTTGGCTGCTATGGAGACAGGAGGATGGTGGGCTGGGTGGACCTTTGGTCTGAGCTCTTATGTCTTCTGTTTTGTTCTTAGGTATATTTATAGGGTATTGTCTAAGAAGGAGGCTCTGCTTTCTAAATTTGGGGCAACTGGTGTTAAGTCTGGACTCCCACATACTTCCCATATGATGCTGAGCAAGTTGTGTACGCCCCATCTTCTTAGGTTATGTAGGCACGTCATAGGAGCTAGGCACCTGAATACTTTTGAGGATCTGGGTCTTAATTTCCTTGGCTGCACTAACTGTAGAAGATGGAGAGCTGTTGTATATGCTCGTCCATAGGGCTGCTGTGCAGGCAGCTGGCAAACTGCCTGAAAGCATCCTAGAGCCAGCTCCCCCAGCTGTGTGCTTAGCTGCCTACCACTATGCAGTGCTGTTGGGTGCATCTGGCTTGGTAGAACTCCATGTGCTCTGAAAACTGCTTTTTGTGGTCTTGAATCTCTCTCTGTGTTCCTTGTGATCCTTATGGGATAGGTGCTACGTGCACATACAGCCTCAGATGTGCTGAGGTCTTATCTCAAGCTAAATTTCTGGTACGACTGTAATACAAGTATTTGAACAACCAGCAGGTCTATTCTGCAGGATCTCGATCAGCAACTAAACTGCTGACCTCTTTAAACTATTAACCCCACAGTTTGGGGTTAGAAAAGGAAGAAGTCTTCTTAATTCTTTAAGGGATCAATTGATACCTGGTACGTACAGAGAGAGAGGAAGGAAAAAGGTCAAAGTTTCTGAGATGGGCAGAGGAAATGCAGCAGAAAAAGATGAACACGTATAGCCTTTAACAGCAGTATCGAGTTCAGCAGCAGCAGTTCCTCTCCCTGAGAAAATTGCCTTCTATGTAGGGGCTTAAGTGCTTAAGGTGAGTTGGTAGGTTTGGCTTTGATTCCCTTCTATTTCAGAGAGTATTCCAATCCACATTTTATATAAAAATAGCTTGTTCACTAGGTACAGGCCAGAATCAGAGGCTACTGTGGTGGGAAGAAGGCAAGGCTTTGGTGTCCAGAGAGAACATGAACCCATAGAGTCCAAGTTCCTGTATGGATGCTGCACAACAGCAGTTTTGGCCCTCGCCCTTCTTTCTGTCTGCTGTATCTGGGAACCTAAGTGCAGCTCACGGAGACTGAAGCATGAGGGACCTTCATGAGTGGATGGAGGAAGCAGCCTTGGAAATGCTGACGTGCTCTGCTGCATCTGGCAGCTGAGCTCTGTCCGTCCAGCCCCGTGATGCTGGCTTAATCCTAACCCCAAGGCAGTGTGCTCCATCCACTCTATTTGTCAGATCACAGCGTGGCACAGAGCTTGTTCTTGGGAGTCTTCCATCGGGTAATGAGCAGGTCCAATTCTGCTTAAACTGATAACATTTGACAGGCTCACAGGCAGTGTATCTGCAACTATTTTCTCTAGCTTAACCATTCAATGTCATGACTTACTCTGCAAATAAAATATGTAGAGCAGTGGAGAGATGCAGGAAAAACATGGATGATCCAGATTTGTTCTCCTGGCTCCGTGTGAGCAAGATAGGGAGAAAGAATAATAGCTACCCCAGGAGTTGTCCTTCAACATCCTGGGCTTTTGACTGTGCCAACCCTAAAAACAGACTACTCAATATGCAACTAAAGAGGGGGAAAAAATAGTCCAGAAGTCTGATTCATTCTCACCCTGGATGAAATGGCAGTGTTCTTTTGTTGTTATTGTTATTTTTTAAAGCAGGTAAAAATAACAGCACTTTCTTCTATGTGGTGATCTGTGGGTGTTCCCATTCATTGCGGGTGAAAAAAACCCCAGCATCCTAGGCCAGAAAGCAGTTTAATGTTTGTCTCTCTCCAAATGCCTTCATCGTTCACACTGACTGGGGCAGGATGTTGAAAAGTGTTCACTGAATATTTTGTTACAAAAAATCATTGGTTTTGTCTGCATTATTCAAGGAATAATATACATGACTTACCCCGGTCTGTAACTCAGAATGAAAAAAAGCTAGATCAAGTAAGTTGCATGAAATGTGCTTAGATTATTTGATTAATATTACTCAGTAAGCTTCATGACTTAGAAACAAGACTGGGCAGGGCAGGAAAGAACTCTGTTCTTTGGACAAGAGCTAGGACCCAGAACTCAATGGAAATACTTCTGTTACGAGGCATTGATGTGTGAACAGCCTAAAATTAAAACACTTCAAGAAACCTCATTTTATTTAGAGGTTTGAAAAAAACCCCAAAACTCATGTTTGATTATATAGCTACATTTTAAATGATAAATATTTCATCTGTTACTGATGGATGAAGACTGCAAGTTCCTCAGTGCAGGAACTACATGTTTGATGAGTGGTGTCCAGGGTTCAGAACTCTTTGGCTGCCCACTTTAAAAAAAAAAAAAAAAAAAGCCACTATTCCATATATAATATAATGTAATCATCTCTGTTTCATTCCTTCTATCAGAAGAGCTGGTTGGTTGCTAAAAATATACTTGCAACAAGCTCAGCTGTGAATCAGGTAGGAATATTTATCTTTCCCTCTGACAGAAGAAAACAAAGCCAAATGGCAGTATCTGGTGAAGCTTTCTCTTTTTGGAGGGTGTTTACATAGTCCTTCACGCTGTCAAAAAGCAGGATGAGCAATAAGCCCCTTGGGAGTGTAAGGACAACAGAGCAAATGAAGTGAAAGCCTTGGTGCTTGCCACTGCATCCCACAGGAAATTCTAAACAACCCTTTTAAAGTAATTTTAAGAAAATCCAATCCCATTTAGTGCAATTACTGTCACGATGTCAAAGAATTTAATAATATATTGGTAGCAAAGGTAGCTTTCTGTATTCCCCTTTTTTCTGTCTTCATGGCAGCACATTCATACCTTCCGCTGCCGTTTTGTAATTGATGGCAGATCAGGAGTTTGAAAGGCAGAAAAAACCCCTGAGGTTTTGAGCAGAGTTTAGGTATTTTTCCATGATCTCTTTACCTAGCAGAGTAAGGTGATGCCGTATGATCCAGTTGCTCAGGGTACTACGGGATTCCTGCATTGGTACCTGCTACTTTGACATGTTGGCTTTGATAACTTCCATCCTATTAATTTTAAGTGCCAGTAGTCTGGCTGCTGATGCAATATTTATGACAGATCCTGCACTACAGAACAAAGTCTCCTTTTGAAGTGCAAAGCTGGTTTGTCTTCCTCATTTATGTCAGATTTCAAAACTACCTTGGGCATTCTCTCCTGGAGTACTCTGCTGTAAACAAACTAAACGTTGTTTTAGTGAAGACAATAGACTGAATTCCTCTTTTACAGAGATGAAAACATTAAACTCAGTGACATTGTGACTGATAAAGAATCAGGCTCAATAAATAATATTTTGATAACAAAGCCTTTGGAATGTATATTGATATGATGATTAAACCAAATCTCTGCAACCTTTCCAACTCACCTCTGCATCTTGGATGGGGCTAGAATGTGGGATTGCGGGCTGGTAGTTAAGGAGTGATTTTCTGTGGTGCTGTTCTGATTAAAATAAGATGGAGGAGACAGCAACCAACCACTGCTACTTTGCAGCTGCTTGCTGGTTAAACCTTCATTCTCATCCTTCCTCCCCCAGACAAGAAATAAAGCGTGAAATGCAAAAACTTCAATTTTGCTGTCTGATGCTTGCAATGACACTGAATAAGCTGCTTTTCAAAAGCACACTGAGCCGACAGCTGAAGCCTGGAGTAGCTCGCTCAGTGAAGGAGGCTCATGTTGCTTGATGGAGTCACTGGCTGGAGCTGCAGTTTCCAAAGTGGACCGTGAAGCTCTGAGCAACACCAAAGAAAAATTGGCCCCATGAGCAGAAGAACAAAATCCCAGACAAGCCATCCCATGAAGCAGGAGTATTTTCAAATATGAGGGACAATACTTGTGTGCTATTAGCTTCACACACTGACAAGGCATAAATATATGCTGATTCTCCACATTGCAGTAATGCAGTTTGATCTTTCCTGAGTAACTTCATTATTCATAGATTTGACTAACGGGTACCACAGTTAGACACTCAAAACATTGTGGAACTAAGCCTTCATGAAAATTTAAACATTTTTGTTCCTCTGGTATTTAACCACCGAGGGTGCATGCTGGTATTTTGAAGTTTTTCAACAATGAATGCAAAACATTTGCCTGAGGGTCAAAAATAAAATAAAATCCTTTAGTCCCCTTGTTTTGAAGCACCACAACTGTAAGGACCAAGATCATCTTTACCTCAGGGAGGGAAACTGAGGGTCTCCAGCAGCTATGTTTCTTCTCCCCACCTCCACCTCATGCAGCACTGCACATGCTGCACATGCTCGGTGCCATAAGGGACTGCTTGTCCAACCTTTCCCATTGCAAAGCAGCTGCACCCAGCACCAGCAACCTTGCAAGAAGTGCAAGCCACGCGCATCATTATGAGGGCCCTTGAGTCTGCAAGGACCAGCATGTGAGCCTGATCTTCAGTGCTTTGGGTCTTCACGTTGACTTCAACATGGGTTTCAAGTGCCTTGTGTGTCATAGCTGGTAACTGGCCTTCTCTCTTTAGAGAGAGGTTTGCGTCGATTAAAAACATGCAAAAAAACCCCAACAACTAGAATAAATAAGGTGGCATGTTTGCTTTTATTTGCTAAGCTATTTATAATTTAGTGCATGAAATTCAGGGTTCCCTACCAATTTTGAGTGCAGTGAATTCATTGCAATGAATTAATGCAAACATTCAAACAAAGCAGCAACTCAGGTGAGCCTCTCTCTGTAAAATATAATTGAAGTTTGAATGGGACAGAACTGACATAAGAAAGCATTTAGGAAGTTTGTGGACATCAGTCCTGTCTCTCTGCAGGGTGAGCAGATACATAATTGGATTGTACTGGTGCATTTTTTGTTAAACAGAGGGTAGTTTGGGGCATTATTAAAGTCCCTTAAAGTATTCACTGAATAACCCTCTGTCTGTGCAGACACAGATCTTGTGCAGACATGCAGGCTCTAGTTGTCCTGTCTGCAGGTCCCCACCATCTCTATCCCCCACTGCCAGCCTGCTGCCAGGGATTGGGCAGCCCAGGGGTCCTACCCCAGTGCCTGCCCAAGGATCCACATCTGTGTAGCAGCAGTTGTCCAACTATGGCTTAGTCTGGGGAATATTTGGTTTGGTTTCACACAGCATCTGCTTTGCATTTCTAAGGCTGGTTTGCATGGAATCATCCCATTAGGTTGTATCAAGGAGTAAAAACCTGTTGTCCTAACTCCCGGAGTCACAGAAAAAAAAAGTGGTTTCATATTGACATGTGTTGACAAAAATGTGGTGCATATGGACTATTAGATCAGTTACCACTTACCAGCAAATCTGCTGAGAATAGACATACAGGTAAACATCTTTAATTAACCAGGTTTGATTACATTCTCTACTGAGGCTAGATTTACATTTATTTTTTTTTCCTCTGGTAGATTTAAACTATTCGGTAATATATACTTGTATTGTTTTAACCCTGAATCCTTTTAAATTCCTGTCTTTGTATTTAGCCCTCCTCCCTTAGCTTCCAAATGGTCATTCTCCTTACTTTGAGACATTGTATTGAGCATTGCAGTATACAACCCAAAGCTCCATGTGCTTCTTTTAGTTTCCATTTGGTTTTGTTTGGGGTTTTTTGAGGTTTTTTTCCCCCTCTTTCCAAAGCTTGTTTTTTGGCTGTCTCTCTTGTTAAATTCCCAGCCCTGATATCTTTCTAGAGGCTAATCACTCTGTGAAAACCTCCACCTGCAAGCAATAAAGATGTAAGATGTGAAGATCTAAGCCCTTTTTTGGCAGTAAGGGAAAGCAGAAGTGGTTGATCCAGATTCATCTGGCAGGGCACATCCCCCTTGTATCAAACTATTTTTCAGCACTGGTGGTTGCCTTACGAGAGAAGCTCCTTTTGGAGTATGGAGGGTGGTGGGTCTGGAGTCTCTCACAGTTGGGGTATCACATCATAGAGGGATGCTGTGAATGCCAGCTGGGCTCATGGGGCTGGAGCTGGCGCTTGCCCTTGGAGCAGGAGCAGGTTAGAGAGTGCGCTCTTTGCAGTCTGGGTCTTGGTCAAAGCAGGGCCAAGCTGATGTGATATTTGAAATTAACTGTCACTTTTACCGTGGTTTCCTCAAGTCAACACACTGGGTTATAGCCAGAGAAGGGAAAATAACTCCCCTCCTCATGTCTTCCACTTCATTGACTGAGGTATGTTGCTTCTCTGCAACGAGAACTTGTGTTGATGCGTTTTACTACTGAGTGCAAAACACAGTTCTCTACTTAGGAAGCCTGGTGTTTGGCTGGTTATTCTAGGAAAGCCTGGATATCACCCCTGAATACCTCAAATCTGCAAAATACTCTCCTTCAGTAGATTTATGTAGTATTTCCTCTATTTCTTTTTACATGTGAAGGAAGGAAAATCTGCAATAAATGCTCATTGGGTTGAAGAAACATCTGTTCAGTTTGGAGGTCCTTCTGTGGCTGTATTGATGAAGCAAGTGGCATCCTACTTTCAAGTAGTCTTCTGCCTCAGGTTAATTTGAAATACAGCACAGATATAAAATGAAATGGAGGGGAACATTTAAGAGTTCCTTAGAGTTAGCTTAGAGTTGGTCACTGCTGTTTTTCTTCTTTCCCAGATACTTTCTTGTCAAAAGTGCTTTGTTTGGTTTGGTTGGTTTGCTTGTCTTATTTGATTAAGCCTTGTATCTTCATCTGTAATAGAGGCATCCTTCATTACTCCCTTCGCCTTACAAAGGCAAAATAACCATGGATGTCACTGTGTTCCCATAATTATAGCTGATGGCTTTATTATCCAGATTTTTCCAAAGCGTGCCAAGGGAAGCATCACTGCCTGTCTGAGCTATTGATATCCCAGCATGCTAATTGTTAGAAATACTTTGGGTCTGGATGGGGGAAAAGTTATTGTGATAAAGACACAGCCAACTGCTAGAAGTCATGGGCAAGGCATGTTGCAACCTAAATGATGTTTTTCATGTTAGACTCGACGCTTAGATGATTCGGTTTGGGGTTTTGAAGTGTTTTTTGTGTGGAGGGCGTAATCTTTGGGATGTGTTTCTTAGGTAGAGCTTTATTTAGGAAGCCACAACTGCATCCTTAAACTGTGAAAGGGCACGTGTGGAGTGAACAGTGTGCTGCCATACCTGCCAGAAGAAAGGTGGGTCGACTTGTAGGAGGAGACCACTTTCATTTTATCCTCTCTCTTCCAAAACTGGTCCAACCCCTGAGCTGTGCAGGGGCTCTGTGGGGTGGGGCAGGGTGGTGCAGTAGGGAAAACACTAACATGGCACTCAGAAAACCTGTGTGGCTTCTTCACTCAGCTTTGTTACTGGCCTTCTGGATAGCTTTGGGCAAGTCATTTCAGTCCCTCAGCCTGAGTTTTCACTGAGAGTACAAGAGTACCAGTGCTGACGACCTCTGTAAGGAGTTTGGATGCCTCATCTCCAGGGAAGGCTGATTCTGGTCTCCCTTGTAGACAATAGCAGATGACAGATGTTTGATTCCTCAGATCTCTGTGGAAGAAGGTTTATTCTTCAGCTGTGACCAGTGAAGAGCCTTTGGTTGTGAAGGGCAATGAGAAAGTTGACCTCCAACTCCTAAAACATATATTTGTATGTTTCCAGTGTATAAGATCTCTGCAAACTTTTAAGTATGGGAGAAATTTGAAGAACCTGATTAATTACAGGATGCTCTGACAAATATTTACAAAGTAATTTTGTGCCTGAAAAATAGGTGTGAAACTGTATATGAAAGCACTGGTAATTTTGGAGAGGAGACAATGCATGGGGGGTTCTGCTTTGAATGTGGAACTGTGTGCACTGTTTCCATTATACATGTTATTATATGTGAATCTTATAAATACACTGATGAGAGTGATGGAAAGCTGCTTCATTATTTTGGAAGCTCACTCAAAATATTTTATTTCTTTCAGAGACTTGAAGATAGAAAATCTGCTGCTAGATGAAGACAACAATATCAAGCTTATTGGTATGAAACCAGTTTGGCAATTCCAGTAATTGAAATTGGTGGTTTTATACAGAGAGTTTTTGAGTCTTTATAATCCTCCATGTGACAACTGCTAATGTTGCTGCAGAGAGGAGCTGAGAGAGTATAGATAGCAATCAAGCTGTTCCTGACAGCATCTTGTGAAAAAAAAATTCCAAATAATTCAGCTCTAAATGGGTGTGAGCAAAATCCTTCATCTTTTAACCAATGGTTTTCATATTCAAATCAGGAACTTTGTAAAGAATTAAAGAATTGACACCACAGAAGTAATTTATTTTATTGTCTTGAGAGTTTCATATTTAAAAAGGGTTACATTCTGCCCCCATATACATATGCTTCTGCTAAAGTCAGTGGGAGTTAGACACATTTTTAGCAGCTGGCAAAACTTGGTCCTATATTTATATTTGTTAAATTTCCTTCCAGCACCCAATATAAAATTGGTTTAGAGGGCTGTTAAAAATAAAAAAGTTCAACGACAGAGTCTTGATTTTATTCAGGTGTCAGTTGTATGCAGTGCTCAATTCATTCAAGTTGTGCAGACATTTTAGATTAATCATCAGTGGGTATAGTCTCTCACTACCTTTGAGTAATTTCCATTAATGTTAGTGTGGGCATTGAAAAGAAAACATGCCCTTCATAAAAAAAAAACCCACAAAAAAACCAAACCAAAACACAACAACAACAAAAACCTCATCATCTGTTTGTATTTATCTCCATGCCTACACTTTTGCCAACAGCAGGGTCTCTGGTTGCAGACTTAAAAACTTGACTGACTTTCTTTTTTCAAAAGGTTTCATCAAAGTGATGAAAACCACAACATTCAGGTCAAATGGACACTCACCGTAACATATAAAGCACATACATCTCCAAACAAACAAGAGGAAGATGGTTAATGAAATCTGAAATGCTAAAAATTTACTTAGGGAATTCAATCTTTGGAAATATTACCATGACTTTTAGGCATTACTCTGCAGCGAATCAACTGACTCTAGAAAAATAATAGCAAAGGAGAACTCTGCATTACCTCAGCTACAGGTCAAGAGGATACTGATATCTTACCATGAATCATTCATCAGCAATGATGGATACCACCCATTATCTTGATTTAGCAGATAAGTGAGACCAGATGGTTTGCAACAGTACTGGATGAACGTCTGATAGATGTGAAGAATTTCTATAACTTCCCTGTTACTGGGGGTTTGATTACACAACAGTGTGTGAACTTGACATCCAAACCTAGACCTAATCAGATGATACATGCACAATTAAAACTCACATGCCAAAAAATTACTTCAGAAGTGTTCCTGCAGTTTCGTTTGCTTTGGTTGCATAGCAAGGTCTCCTCACAGTGGGTGGTGTGGGAAGAATAGAGAAAAGAGACAGTTTGATCTTCCATAGCCTCACTGGCGTTGAAATAAATTGTCCTCAGGTTTGCAGCCTGATGTTTTAAGCAAAGCAGATTGTACACAGTATGTATTTTAAAACAAAGCAATTAAATCCCACTGTCCAACTGGGTATGTTTTAGAAAAAGAAAGGTTGCTTTATTAGTAATAATTTTGCTGTAAGTAAAAACAGATTCAATATCACAGTCAGCTCATGCCGTGTTTCACTAGTGATGCTGGTGATCTCTGGTTGTTCACCCTGAAGAAGCAGTGCCTCCATTCTTCAAGCTTTGTCTGCTGTGCTTACACATAAAGCTGGAGCAGGGGCTGCTGAAACTCCCTGGGCAACATTTCTTCACCAACAGCTCTTTTCTACATGGTAGCAGGAGCAGCGCTTGAGCTGCTGCACGTCTTTCCGTTGCCACCACAATTTCCCAGGACAAGGAAAATGTTTCAGCACATGTCTGTGGCTGGTTGAGTAGACCAATTTGCTCCTCTCCCCTTCCTGTTCCCTCACTCAGATCATTCAACGCTCAGTACAATGTTTTATATAGTCTGTCCTTCTAGAAATTGGGTGGATCAGTTGTGTCATCACACAGTCCTTCTTGAGGAGTCAAGAACATGTTTTGAGGAAATATGTGCTGCTTTTCATGCTTTGGAGAAGAGACTTTGAGCTACAAAACCAGCTCATATGAACTGCTTTGTGGTAGGAGCTTGGTGTCGTCTCTTGTGCAGCAGCTACCTAATAAAAATGTCACTCCTGTAATAACTGTGGAATGAAGATAACTTGCCATAAAGGAAAAAGAAAAGGTGACATGAAGATTGAAAATGTGCCAGAACACTGAAAAGTCCCTGGTAGTTCATCCATTTCAATGAGAACTGAATCTGAATCCCTCTGGTCCCTTTCTTCACCCGGCTGCTTAATGGAACCTAGCTTTTGTTACTCTTTTTAGTTACGTGACAAGGTGGTTTATAATATGTTCTTAGATAGTATTCGAAAAATTCCCTTTGCTGTGTTAAGTGGACTTATTCTTAGCTATCTGTCTCCAATCCTAAGAACAACACAATTGGAAACACTGGAAATAGTTCACTTCTCTTTGTCTACCATCTCATAAAGGTGCTTTGAAAAGCCACTCACAGGCCATGTGAAGTCCTTGGTATCCTGCTCAAGGACCTTATCACACCAAAGAAACCCTTCCAACAGGCAGCAGTACTGAGCTCTGTGGTCATGCTTGTCCAGCAGCTTGGTGCTAAGGCTTCTGTTATTGAATAACTCTTTCCTTATTCCAACTGCCACAACTTCAGAGATAGCCATATATCCATAGCTTAATGTGGGTTTCCTGAAGGCGTTAAAAGAGTAGTAAAGAGATGTGATACTTCGATAGTACGTGCAGTGGGGGTGGTGGAGTTGCCATGTCATAATATTTACTTTGGAAAGCCAAGTGTGGCCTTTGATCTGAATTCTGTAATTAGCTTGGCTTACTGAAAAGAAGCCTAAGACAGAGACGGGAATGGCAGTGAAAGTATCAATGCTGGTGGTAATACCTTCCTTATCAAGATCAGCAGTGCATCCCTAATAAAAATGACACTGTGATCGTGATGTGTTGCCACACTGTTAATATTCCTGTTTCTTTTGTAATAAAATCCCCTTCCCCAACATGCACGTTTGCATGCATCCTGCATTTCAGTGCGGGGCAGGGGAAAAAAAAAAGGGAAGAAAAAAAAGAGCAGCCTAGATTAAATGTATGAGCTGAAAAAAAAAGAGAATTAGATGTTTATAGTTCAAGCAAATAAGATAATGAAAACTTCCACTAGAGGGTACCTCTATGGATAATAATAAAAGAGTGCTGATTTACACCATCTCAAAATACAGCCCTTCTGTGTGCTGATTGTAAAGCATTATACTGCAGTCGAGTAATTTTGAGGTGGTAAGACACAGTAGGGTAAGGACCGTGAATAATATTGTGTAGGGATGTTATTTCTAGGAGTTCTAAAAAGTATTTTACAGTTGAGAAAACCCACCTCGGGCCACAGCTAATAAATACATTAATTAAGTAAATGGATCCTCGGAAGTATTTGTATAAGCCCCAGGGATAATACACATCTAGCAGAGATGATTAAGCAGTGTCCAGAGTCAATTGTTTCCCATCAGAAGTGAGGAAATTGTCTAGAGCCTTCCTTCCATTTTGACACAGTTCTCCAGTAAAACCCCTTTGAGCCTCTTTGGATGTTTAAATATGGTGATTCTTGTCTCTCTTGTGCTTGTCTTGCTTTCAGAGATGCAGCCAGCCGTGTGGAAAGCCCTGTGCAGTCATTTGGGCACTCCAGCTCACATAGTAATCTTTATAATTACATTTTTTTAAGCTTTCTTTTTTTTTTTCCCCTATTTTTGTAAGGGAACAAGGCTAATGTGACTGCTCTGTCAGGGCACTTCTAATGCTTTGAGGAACTCCTGCCTGATTTCAGCCAAATTTGAAGTGGAGTAAAAGCTAAAGGACAAGCCATTACTTCAAGTCTTATGTAGATAAGAGAGAGACTCAAATTAATGACTGTGGAGAGAGAACTTTGCATGGGCTCAACAGTTGCCTGCTATATTTGGCCTGCAAGATGTGCTCCTTTAAGCCCATCCAGGCAGGTGGGTAGCACAGCCAAAAATATTCTGTTTTACAAGACACATGGATGCCAGGCACAAGTCTAGAGGGAGAGGATTCAGCGGTCTACTTCTGACTGTCTCATTTATGTATAAAATGGTTTTCATTTTAAACACTCAGGCAGTCTGGGAATATTGAAGAAGGATGGATCAAAAAGGAGGGAAGAAAACACACGTCAGTGTTCTTAATAGTGGGATTTTGTTGTTGTTGTTGCAGCTGTCATCAGTAACAAGTTATTAATAAATGTGAACATCTTTGATTGTGACCTCCCTATATCCACTACTGGAGTTACTGCCCTACAGCAAAAGCTGTTGTCCCAGTCTACCAGCTTTGCCCGTCATCCTCCTCCTTGCAAGCTTGTCTCACTTCTTCCTCTGATAACATCAGGTTGTTTGACTTCACTTTCAAGACTCTTTGAAACCTCTCCTTGCCTTCTACGTCAGCTGTGGTTTCCTAATTGCTTTCTCCCAAGCCAGGCATGGGCTGCCACTCGACAGGGTGGGCTTGCACTCTCCTGGCTCCACGTTGCTCCCAGGCACTTCTGCCGCTGGTGCGACTCTGTTTGCCTTTCTTCCCTCGCTTCGTCCTGTAATTTTAAAGATCCTTCCCTAAACCCAGCTCAGCCTGCAGCCACACCAGCACTGGAGCAGATGGGGGGAGATTTTGGGAACACCCTTCTCGGCGCCAGCCTGGTCGTGTTGGCTGAGAGCACTTGGGAAACTGCAGCCTCCTTTGGTCCGGAGAGGCTGCCTCTTGTCTCCCACCAGCTCATGGTGCCAGCCTTTTCCAGTCTCTCTTATTATTGCCAGCAAAAGAGTGTCAGATACACCCAGGGGCCAGAAATGCAGTAATTCAAGGCAGAAGTCAAGGAGGCACATTCCCCTTCTTGCTCCAAGATCTCCCAGTGTTATTTCAGAGCTTAAATGCTGACTCTGCAACTCTGTGCCTTTCTGCATCACCGCAGCAGTTCCGGAAGCAACGCCCATCCCCCCGCCGACTTAGAACTGATGGCTCATTTACACAATTTAGAGGGAAATGGTGAAGAAGTCCCACTTAAACTTGGCCTCCACATAACATACTGCAGCAGTATGCAGTCCACAATAGCCGGAGATGGCTTTCTGCCCCACGCACATCATGTGGTGCCAAGCTCAATTCTGGTTGTGACCATCCAGTTCCCAGTGAAGTGTAGTTGCTTTGTGTATGAAATAGATAATTGTGCATGTTCCAGGATTTTTATTGTTTGTGGAAATCTCTGGTTATTTAGCACCTCAGAGAAACAAATTCTGTAACATATTTGCATGTGGATGATTTTTCTCTCAGGCAGTTCATTGCTTAGCTTTTGGAAAAAATGTGGGTTTTTTCCCCCTTGTGTTGTAGTGGGTTTTACTGTATCTGTCTCTTTCATAACTCTCTCTGCCTTTCACAGACTTTGGATTGAGCAACTGTGCAGGCATCTTGGGTTATTCTGATCCATTCAGCACCCAGTGTGGGAGCCCAGCATATGCAGCGCCTGAACTTCTGGCAAGGAAAAAATACGGGCCTAAAATAGATGTTTGGTCCATGTGAGTTACTTCTCTAGTTTATACTTCTCTAGTTATGTTATTGCTGTCATCGTTACCCATTGCTCAAATGAGAAGCCTTATTTGTGTATTTGGCTACTCTGAGCAAGAAAATAGGTTTCATTTGTGTGACTCTAAACTAAATTGCACAGCTGTTTTGTTCTGAAATAGATCTTTTACCTACCTGTAAAAGATAGGTAGAACATATAGCATAGGGAGATTGCAGTAAAGAACAGCTGTTGATCAGTGATGTTCAGACACAGTAGAAGACATGGCTCTGACACAAGAAGGCCAACAGCTTTTTTTGTGTTTTCTTCAAAGGATCCTCAGGCATTCAGAATTACAGTAATTCCCAAGTTGAAGTTTTTGGAACACTTGGGAAATGTGCAGTACTGTATATGAAACTACTACTGCTAAGAAAAATTGGCCAGAATCTATATATTAGAGTAGGACCTGCATCAAATTCATCCCTCAGTTTGACTCAGGAGGTCCCCTGTTGCACTTCAAGGCTCTTTAGAGCTTCCCCTGCTGAAGTCTAATTTGCAGTCTGTCCTCGAAGGAGACCCACAGCTAAATCACCCAGTGGCTACTGAATGTCTCACCTCAGCAGTAGGACATCTGTCCATATCAAGGTTGAGAGTACCAGCCCTGAGGAATTCAGGCAAGCAGAGCACAGTCATTCTTTTAAACCATTTAAATTTATCCAGAAATAATGTCCTGTTCCCTTTTTTAATTAAAATATTTAAAAAATATGGTTAACTCCTACCCTTTCTCATAGCTGAACAAATAGTGTTTATGATAACAGTTTGTGATAGCTCACTGGTTTAGTTTCTTTCTGTTCACATATGTGTATTCCATAGACTGGGGAAACAAACTCCCAAAAGAGAGGAATTCCACTCAGATTGAATTTAAATCCCTTTTAAGAGAAAAAAGGACAAGAGTGCCCAACCCACTTTTCATCTCTGACTTTGCTGGGCATAAACAACAAGTACATTTTCTGCTCTGAAAAATGTAATTGTTCATACTGGATCTTTGGGCTGCACCAGCAGCTGTGGTGGTCACCCTTAGGCACTAATCCAGGACCTGTGATGTCCCCATTGGTGCAGGCATCCCTTCCATACCGAGGACAGCACCAGGACAAGGCCTCCAAAAGCAGCATGTGCCACTTGATTGTGGCATGGCATTTAGCTGAGGAGTTGCCTCAGAGCTGGGCTCTTCCCTGTGGCTCCCAGCTTATGTTCTATGCATTGTGTGACCCTCCATAAGATAACATTTGGGAATTCTTGCTCAAATCATTGTGTGCAACAGAAGAAAGAGCTTTCTTTTGTCTTCTTTAATAGCTGTCAGACATTAAAGATGAAGCACAGTCACTAAAACCTAAGCTTCAGTTTTTCCTTGTTCTTCATAATTTTGCTTTCTTTTTCTCTGTTTTCTTTTAGTGGGGTGAACATGTATGCAATGTTGACTGGAACATTACCCTTTACTGTGGAGCCATTCAGCTTGAGAGCTTTATACCAGAAAATGGTAGACAAAGAAATGAACCCTTTTCCCACCCAGCTCTCCACAGGTAATCAAGGGGGTGTGATAGTACTGGTTCAGATCCAGTTGGTCAGAACCATTGGGTTGAATTCTGGGTTGTGAATCTTGCTCCTGACATGGCATGCTAATTGGGAAAAATACTCTTCATTTTAGTCTCCAACAGATCTGCTGGAGTTGTTGTAGTATAACTCCTTTTGCTTTGACTTCTAACTCCTTTTGCTTTGACTTCTGTATTTAAACTGGAGAAGTGCCAAGTTGTGCTGCATATGAGAGAGGAACAAATCTGTGAAATTGCTTTGGTAGAGTAGTTGGTCAGTTTTGCACATTCAGAAGATTTTAGCATAGGGCATGGATGCATCTACAGATTATTTTGGAATAACAAATTCCTGGCCATTGTCATGACTAAGACTAAATGATAAGCTGCCCTGAGTGATCTCATATTTATTCTGGAATAATGACACACACAGAACGTTATTTTGGGACAGTGGCCTGCAATAACCTTTGTGCCTTCACAAAATGCAAAATTGTTGATATATTAGTATTAGAAATATTCATTCTTGCTTCAAAGCCATGTCACTAGGCAACAGAATAATTTTTCAGCTTATAGCAAGACCATCATCAACATTTGGAGCAAACTCCATTATGTAGTTTAGTTTTAATTCTGTATGCTAAATTTGCTGTTCACAGAGAGCTTCTCCTTATCTGCTGACCTGTTTAAAAGGGATATTTATTCTGGTTAAAAGATTGGCAAATAGGAAAAAGATATCAGAGCATACATTTTCACTCAGTGCTCTAAGGATGGCAACCATTGTCATGGGGGTAAGAGAAAGCCTTTGAAACTTGTGTCACAAAATGAATTCTCCCAAGTACAGATTTGCCTGTAGTTAGAAAAAGGAGGCAGTTAAGGGTTTCTCACACAGGTTACCTCTCAATCAAGTGGAGTATGTTATTCCTTGTTTACTCAGCCTCTGTATGAGGTATACTTTTCTTGCCAGCAGTTCATATTGCTGGCATGTTGTAAAGTGGTAGGTTTACAAGTGAGCTGGGATGCTGCAAGTCTTGACGTCTATTTGATGCAATTAGACTGTTTGGTATTTCCATTCTGGAGACTTCCCCTTAGGATTCAGTTGCACAAAATGGCTATTTTAATGTTCTAGCACATGCTCTAAAGCCCCACTGAGTAAATTAAACGAAAGTTTATACTGACTGCTTTGTACTGTACTGATCTAGATGCCAAATCCTGCATCAATTGCAAAATTACTCTTTAATTCAGGGACTTGCATGTCATAATAAACGTTTTCCATGTTTGGCAAAAAAATTACCACACTTACCTCTCAGAGTGAGGTTTTTACCAATAAAGAGCAGTTGTGATGACTCTGTAGTGTCTTCAACCTGATGGACTGTTTCCGAATTGTAGTTTTCATTCAGTCATCTCTGAGCAGAAGATTTCACTGACTTCACTGGAGTAACTCATCTGTTAAAGGCTGAATCACCCACTAAAGGCCTGCAGAAGACCAGCCAAAAAGATAACATTACTTATCGCAGGTTTCCTTTTGATGTTTCATTCATCCTACCATTTTATAATGGAGATCAAATTTTCTCCCAAATGTGTCTCTGTAGCATTTGTGGCTCACTGACATGAAGGTCTCCAGTGAAAATGGTGTTTCATTTATCCTGTGACAACGGTAGCAGCTTGAACTCCCAGAGGTGATGGCAAATTAATGGTATAGATTTAAATGTGTTAACCTTTACTCATTGTGAACAAAGGTACATATTAGTTCTTGATCTAAGTCAGCAGCCTTGCACGTTCACTGGCACAGCAAACTGATTGAAGATGACGTTTGGGTCAGTAGCTAGAAGCTTGGCTCCTCTGCCCTGCCAATTGTTGTGTTCGTTAACTTCTTAGGTTTATGTATCTTCTTCTTTGATCGTATTTTATTTTTCTGTAAATTCACATATAGAGTAGACATTTTGTACAGAGTCTATTTTGCTTTTTCAGTAAGTTGTCTTGCAATATTTTATTTCACAGTTACTCAACACACAGTCCCATCATAAAAGCAGCCAGTCTTATCACTAAGCAAGAGTATATTTTATTTGTATTTGTTAAAACGTTGGGTGAACTTGAGCACCCTAAGCAACTGTGTAGCAACAGGGAAAATTTGGAGTTAGTGTTCGATTTTCCCATTTAGGAAACCATTTTTCATCAAGCTTCTTAAACAACACAGCTATCTCTATTGATTTTAGTTAAGCAGAGTTCAGTTGTTCTGCAAATTGGTCTTCACCTCTCACACATTCCTTTTTTTATCCTCAATTTACCACTTCTGTGTGATCATAGAATCACAGAATGCTGGGTTGGAAGGGACCTCAAGGATCATCTGGTCTAACCTTTCATGGTTCATAGTTTTCCTTCTGGAGCACTGAAATGAAGTAGAGATGAGTAGGGGCATCATCTATCCATGCCTGTAGTTTGGAAGAAGGATTTTATTAGGTGGACCTCACTCATGGCTTGTGAAATGACATGGCATTTTCTCCAGCTGGTTTTGTAAGCAACACTTGTACACCTAATTTTAACCAGGCACACCCTCACAGTGGGAGCAAGACACCAAGTTGGCTTCATTCATGGAGAGGAAGATGAAGGCATCAAGAGGTCTTGGAATCCCCATTGAAGCACTCTCCATTTCTGGTCATCACTGAGCTCAGTTCAAGGAAGTTAAGAGAGAAATGTAGTTTCTCATTATGCTGGTTTCTCATTTGTCAAAAGAGTAAAGTTTGCCCCAAAATTGTGTCATGGGAACAAAATTCCACTGAGTGAAGGTCACTGGCTAATCAGATTTGTTCTGTCCTTGAGCCTGTCATGAATGAAGCCTCATGCAATGAGCCCCACAGGGTGGTTCACAGAGGCCTTTGTTCGCCAGCCTGCTTGGTGCAGCAGGAGAAACAGCTTTAGGCACATACAGTGGGTCCAGAAATCAATTGGACGACTTCATGTTTGCTTCCTGGGGGTTTAACTCTCTGTCCCATAGCTGTGAGGCTAAGTAGAAAAGGCTTCTCTCCTGCCCATGCCATCTGACAGCTCAAATCAGCCAAGGTGCTGTTTCTCATCTCCTCCGTGTCACCTGGGTCCAGTTGGCAAGGAAGCCTGTCCAGGGGGGAGTCCTCTATTCAGAATTAGTTTTTCCCAGTCTGGCTCTGTTGATCTTTGTGGTGCTTCACAAGCCTCATTTAACTACCTGCCTTTTGCCTAGGGGGGAAAGAAAAAAAATAATATATTTTGTAAGGACGTGTTAGCTCAGTGGGGCGCTGAGGGTGGTGGTGATGGGGAGGAGAGTGTTTGTTTGGGAAAGGGTTATTTACTTTGCTCTGAACCCATGAGATGCATGTGGTTTCTGAGACAGGGGAAGTACGGGAGAGAGAGGAGATCAAATGGAAAAACAAGGGATTTGTTGTTTGCCATAACAGGGAAGTCTGCGTCAGAGAGGCATGACATGGAGGCACTTGGGGCATGCAGAGAGCAGCCGTAGCAGCAACTTTCAGCAGGTTTATGAACTTGGATGTGGGCTTTTCCTGCTGTTGCTGCAATATTGCTGTCATAGGAATAAAACAAACACTGGGACAGATTTAAAGTAAAGTATCTCACATAAATCAGCAATTTGTGAAGACAGAACTTAGAAAAAGCCCAGTCGATACCTAGCTGAACTGGTAAATACATAATTGTAACTCTCTCTTTTCCATATATTAACTTCTTGACAGTAGGCCTGCGTTGAAACAAATAGCCTCTCAGGGCCCTCTCCAGCTGATACTTGATTTTTAGCAGGCTGTAGAACACTGAGGTTACCCAAGCTCTTAGGAGTTGGCACCCATCACATCTAACCCTGATTTTTGGGGGGAGAAAGCCTCCCTCCCTCGTCCACCTCCCTGGCCCCAGTACATCAGCCCCACCATCCCATCCTGTACTTCAGGTGAGGGGTGATGTGGGTGGACTCAGGGACATAAAAATGCTTGTGGGGACAGCCAGGCGAGCACAAAGGAGGGCAGCCATCTGGTAGAGGAGAATCCGTGAAGAACAGCAGCTCTAAACCTAGGTAAACGTTTATGCCCTTTTCAGATGAGGACATGGTGACCTTATGGGCGGACATATTCTTCTCCTTAAGTTGGATGTGGGAATGGGGATTCATGAAGGTTTTACTCTGCTGCTGGCGGAGAAGACACACGGTGGCTGCTGTGCCTCAGAGCAGAGGGTGTGGTGCCGGGTGAGCGTGCTGTGGCAGCAAGACCAAAGGCCTGGAAAGCTGAACAGAGGCCTGGCTCAATATTCCCAGTTTTCTAGCATTGAGGCATTAGCACACGCTGCTCAATGTGCTTGGTAACACAAGCCTTTGAGTGGTTTGTGTTGCCTGTGCTGAGCTGAAGTAGCTGTGTGGGCAAGGCTTGCCCTGAGCACACATCCCAGAGAGCACTGTCCTGTGCCACAGTGGTCCTGCTCTTCCACTGCCCGAGGCAGCTGTGCTAGCAAGGAGCTGAGTAGACATGACACGCTCAGGAGAGCATAGGAAGGGAACCATAGCTCTGCTGTGAAAGAAGTTGGAAAAAAGCCCCTAAGGTCCTCTCCATCTGACCTGGAGAAAACTCTGCCGCAGCGATCACTGCTGCCTCTTGCTTGCCATTTACTTCATTTGGGACTCATTTGGCATCATCTCACTTGACTGTATCTCCTCTACAAAATAATTTCAATCTTGGTTTTCCCAGAATTAGGTTTCTTTAACTGTCGTGCCGGGAAATTGTAGAAGACATAGTTGACTCTTCACTATCTTGTAGCTCATAAACTGAATCTAGCCTAGATAATTTCTGTAATAAAGACCAGACCTAATTAAAATAGAATTTATTTTCAGCTCAGGTATGCACTTCTTTTGAGGCCTTATGCAAATCACTAGATTTCATTGCTCCTGATCATATAAGAAGCATGTGACTTAAAAATATCAGAAAGGTACTTTTGCGGGTTTTTGCAAGAAACTCCTGCGGGATGGTTGAATGTCACTGGAACTTGAAGGTTCAGTATATGAAAACAGAGCAAAGCCTATTAATTTTACTGAACTATTTTAATTTGACTAAAACCTCCTGCAACTGGTTGTAGGTTGGATGGAAGCCAGGAGAGAGCTTGTCCTTATAATGTCAAAGGGAGCCAATTCTCCATGTCTTTCCTCCCAGCTCTATGTCCCTCCACTCACCCCCAGTTTATCTCCTTCTACTTTAAATACAGATTGAGTGATTTGCCTCTGACCTGACTCCAGCCTCTTGTCCTCATACAAAAGCTAAGTTTTGGTTAACTGCTTGGAAACTTCAAACAAGCTCTGAAACAAAAGGTGCTTTTTCTCCTCTCGTTTATGACTCTATAAATCATTGTGACTATAAATCATTGTTTATTTTACTTACTAATCTTGTATCAGATTTTCTTTTTTCTCAAGGACATTAGAGCATACCGTAAGGAAAACGTTCTGTTTTAGTGTGCTCTTGGTCAGGCTACACACCTGTAGTAGCTCAACTACCATGTTGAGTCATAAAGCATATGACATACCTGTTGTTTTTCTTGATTTCTTCACAGCGGCCATAAACTTTCTACGATCTCTACTAGAGCCAGATCCTGCAAAGAGACCAAACATCCAGCAGGCACTTGCAAATCGATGGCTTAATGAGAACTACCCCGGGAGAGCACCTCCCAATGTCACATATCCAAACAGGTACTGTGTGGAAGAGTGGAGAAAGCCTGACAGTGTGTATGCACATTAAAATGTAAATGTCTCTGACGTTGCAGTTTCATTCCTTGTGTGACAGCATTTTCTGGGCCTGATTGTGTGACTCTGTCCAAAAAGTTGTTAGATTCGCCATTGAATATGTGTTGCTTGAAATGGTAAAAAAACCCCAACACCTTAATTTGCAGGGTTGTCTGGAGAGCAGATCATATTGATTGATTTGCTTCAGACTTTGGAATGGATATGAGGGACATCAGTTCTGATCTTATGCTTTTTTGCCATACGTACATGAGGTTCTGTGGGTTAGGTAAAAATACAAACTGTCATGAAAAAGTTCAGAGTTTAGTGATCTTGCTCTGTTGGTTGTTGATCTTGAATACCTGTGCAATGCTAAATGCACTAATACATGCAAACAGAGAACAAACCTGATGGCCAGTCCAACATCCATCTAGGGAAGAAGTAAAAGAATGGTACCTGTGGCCCACTTTGGTTAGAAATAATCTTGCTTGACTTCAAACATCTGCCATGTAGAGTTGACATATAAACCATCCAACCAGACCTCTCATTACAGTCCATGGAGAGAAATAAGGGCACTTTTTATAGAATTATTAATCTGATTTTTTTATTCTGTAGTAGGATGACTTTGTGCCCAGGAGATCCAAGTTCCTCTCCAGTGACTGGAGCCTCAGGCAACTCACTTAGACATGTATGTCTATATTTGATCAGATAAAACCTTTCGTCTATCAAAGCCATCCAGCTGTGTCTCATACACGATTGTAGTACCTGCAGAGGATTCACTGTAGGAGTTACTAGCTTGCCAAAATCCTAAGTAATGCTGAGGCAAAGACAGCAATTTAAAGCCTAATTTTGGTGTTTAAAATTTTATAGTGCCCCAAAATTTCTGTCCTAACCTGCTAAGAGGAGAGTCCCTAAGTGAAGATCCTAACTTCCCCACTGCAGTTTACTCAGTTGCCAGTACCAGATGTAGCATATGGCTAGGGGCTTGACAGCTTACTTTTACCTGAACATCTGTTCTACTGTCCTTCACCCAAAGATGATTCGGTGTTGACCAACCAGGCCATCTCTTTGTGTCGGTGTCCTGAAGGACTTGGTCTCATAGGCATGCTTAAGCCATGCATACAGCCAGCCTTCACCATTCAGCCCAGATTGCAGCTTTCCTGGTGACAGTGCCTTCAACCCACTTTCTCCTCTCCTCCACCACTAACCAGATGAACAGGGTGTGTTTCAGAGCTATAGGTCCAACCCCTGTGGGGCTGAGAGGCACCTACAGCACTCCTTTTACTACTGACACAGGTGATGAGTGCTTGATTATCCTGAGACCTGGGCACAGGAAATCAGTGTGAGCCCTAAATCTTGGGGCAGCCTTTAGGAAATTTTGGAGACCTTTCTCTTTGACATTGCTGTAAGCTGGCTTACAGGTCACAGCCTACACCATCTGGCTTTGTACCTGAGCCACATCCTTTTTCCCTCTGCATTGGCAGGGAACAAACATTCCTAATTTAGCAGCAAGAATTTCCCTTCCAGAGGCAGGGTCTTAGTTTTCAGTTCCAGCATTATGAAGAATCACTGTGACTATGCCTTTTTTTGACCTGAGAAGAATAACAGATCTCCCCCTCTCACAATATGGTTGGATAGATGTTGAGCAGCTTGGATGCCTGGAGGCATCACTAGAGCCATCCACTGAAACAGGGAGGGCAAATGTGAGACTAACTGTCTGCAGTCCTCAGACTTATGTGGACAGAATATAAAGATGCCCCCTATGAACAACTGTTTTGCAAGGAATAAGAATGAGAACAGGCAGACACATTATCTTGACATTACTGCACCAAATTTAAGGGCAGTTGAGTTAATCTGTGTAGTATGCTGTCTAACAAAAGGAAATCTGAGTTTCCATGGCGCATTGGGCTGTACTGAAGTATGGTACATATGAACATTGTATGGTAAAGAAAGGGAAAACAAGTGTAAACTGAATGAGTCATTAAGCTAATGAAATCACTGTCATAATGAGTCTAATCAATCTACTAAATGTGGCATCTGTTACGTGAATGTAAGTGTAACTGAGAGCTGTATGGGTAATTTAATTCTTTTCCTATGTGCATCATCTGATTTGTAGAAAAGAGGAAGAAAAGGCAGAAATAGGGTTTGAATGTGCTTTCACAATTCATTTGCATTTGTAGGTACATTTTCATGCCTCTGTGACTTCTTGACTTGCAGTTGTCAGGCTTTAGTCAGGTTGTGCTGGAAGCATCCCTTCTAGAGGCTGCTCATTGCTGTAGTTGGGTGGGTGACTTACAAAAGAGGCTGGCCTCTACTAGACAGAGTAGCTGTGCAATGCTCTTTATTTACAGACTGCCCGTTCATCATTCCCTTCTCAAAGCAAGCGAATCAAAAGGAAGAACAGAAGAAAATGCAGTGACAAATTATAGAGCGGGCATATGCTTATTCATGCGTACATGCGTATATGGTAATGATAATAGTCCTTCCCTATTATAAGCACTTTTAAAGGAAACATCAGCTTGGAATGCTATGCTTTGCTGTTGAAAAAAAGCCAGTTACTTTTTCTTTCTTGCTTGCTGAACTGCTATTCTTATTTGGTCAAAAAACAAAAGAAAAGCAGAAACTCCAATCTGAGCCCACATTTTATGTGAAGCTGTAAAGGATAACAGCCACAGAGATTCTTCCTTTCACTTCATTTCTTTCATAGGTTTTCTTTAGTTTAATTAGTTGTTGCACTAATCTTGACCTGACTAGATTATATTGTACTGAAGCATTATAGGGAAAATATAATGATCGTAATATTTAAAGACATGAGTAAACTCTTTTGAACCAGGACACTCAGAAACTGTCACTAGATTCAGCATTGACAGACTTTCTCCAAGTGTGCAGACGTGGGTAAGATGTATCAAAATAGTTCTGAAAAATCCACTACTGAATTTACAAGGAATCCCCCTCCCCTCTCAATCGTACTTTCTATAACACAAGCAAGAAGCTGTGTTATGTTCTTGCAGTGCTCTTCCACCATTTGGGGCCTAACACCCATTGTTCCCAAGACACTGACTTGGTAGGAAAAGAGAGAGCATGGAGATAAGACAGAAGAACTGCAGAAACAGCATTTTCTGGAGAATATTCCCCCAGGCTTTTTATAAGTTTGTTTTTATTAAAGAAATTCCCTGAAGGCAAGCAAAAATTGCCCATTTTGCTGAGCACTTCAAGTAGAAATTGCTTGAGTTTCGTTTGCTGTCCAGATGCTTTAACAGGCAATGGCAAAGATAAGTTTTGCTTTTGAACTTCAAAAAAAACCAACCAACGCCAAGCATTCCTTAGCTGCAGAATGAATGTTAATAAGCACACCAAGTAAAGGAAAATAGTTGTTTGAGATTTTCCAGACTGTGTTTCACATCTTGTCAAAGTCGTCTACATCAGACCCAGACTGCTGTCCAGGCATTCCTCACATCACAGGTGCACAGGACAGGGAAACAGCAGGGCAGGAGTGGGAGAAGTGGAGAACGATCCTTTTGAAGGGGGAAGGGAGGTTGTGAAAAAGCCTACAACCTAAGCTCCCCTAAGTTGCCTTAGCCATATAATAGACTTGCTATTAGGAACAAGGAATATCCTTTAGAAACCAAATGAAACCCAGCATTTTTTTGGAGATGGATGGGAGTTGACGGGTTCATCTGGGAAGGTGGCCAGCACATTTAGGGGTCGAAATAGGAGCAGAGAAAATCTGGTTCTAACTTAGACTGGGAAGATGCTTTGCTGTATACACAAAGCTGCTGAACTCCATTTATTGCCCTGGCTGAGTCTGTTGTAAACTTTATAGAAGGGCACATACATAAACATGTCTTGTTCTTGTGCTTTTGACTGACATGAGTATAGCAGCAGTTTTACCATTTTGAGAGCTGCTGTAATAACATCCTCTTGTATGACCCAGCATGAAATTCCCTAGCTACTTAGTGCACAAATATTGTGCATCAGGTAAAGGGTGAAACTGAAAGCAATTGTGTTTGATTACAAGAAAAGGGTCATTTCAGGAAGCCAAATGTAGCCCTGAGTTGGATTTTACCTCTTCAAAACCAGCAGGATGATCTTGACAGTCTTCACTGGTCAGAGTAAGAGTAACAAACAGCAGTATCCTGAGTATCACCATGCTCCTTCTCATCAGAATAGGACATGGTGGGGAGAGTGCTGTTCATTCAGCTATTACGGCTTCCCATGGTGCCCTGTGGTTCCCTAATAGCCTGCCCTTTTCATGCCTGCTCACAGGAGGAGAGAGCTAATCATTCCCACTCTGCTGAGCCTTTCAAGCCTCTTCTTTACGCTCTGCCATGTCCCCTATGGCTGGTAAGGCTCTCTTGCTGGCAGGACAGTATGAAGGACATGCTCTGCCTCTCTCTGCAGAATTCACCTTGAGGACATCAGCCAAAGTGTGCTGCTCCATATGACTGAGAAGCTTGGCTACAAGAACAGCGATGTCATCAACACTGTGCTCTCAAACAGGGCAAGTCACACCCTTGCCATCTACTTTCTTCTTAATAAGAAGCTGGAGCGCTACTTGGCAAGCCTTAGGGTAAGTGCTGCTTACTCATTTTGTAGCAGTAACCATGAAGGGGAAGTATTCCTCACAAACGAGTAACAGTATTTCAGGTAAGTATTCACCGGGTTGCAGAGGAAATTGCTGATAGCTTCATGTCTGACAAGTCCCTGATTCCATAGGAGAGCCCTTCTGTCCAGGCAGTCACCATATAGAAAGCCAAGAGTTACTTGTGACTTGCAGGATACTGTGTGCGTATGTTGAGACAATTCTGCTGCTTGAAATATCAATAACACAATGTAATTTGATTCAGGAATCAAGAGGAAGCTTAAGAGCTATTAAAATGTTGTTTAGTTATAAAGTGAAAACATAGCTGAAAGTTTCTAATATGAAATAACATTAATATAATATCTCCTGGTCTCCTACTGACCTTCCTGGACCCCGAGTATGGCTTGGGGGTCAGAAAGCCTGTGTCCAGGTTTGCACAGCAGCTTTCTCTGGGGCAGGAGTCTGCTGCCACATGTCACCCTTCCTTGTACATCCAGGGGAGCTGAGCTGCCCAGCCATGTTTTGTGAGGTACTTGCTCAAGTGCTAGGCTGAGCACAGCACACAAAGACAAGGTGCATCTTCTCTTCCCTGGGCCCCTCCACGTGGCTGCCTGTGGGTCAGGGGAGGAGTCCCAACTAGTTGTGGGTCTGTAGGCTTCTACAAAACTGCATGGGAAGAAGGGTGGGTTGTAGGGAGTTTTCTTTCTAATGTGTCTGAGTCTTGGCAAAACTATGCCCAGTGGCTTTCTGATCTGACAACAGCTTCCTAGTTTTCTTCTTTTCTCAGTTCTTTCAGCAGGCTTGTTTTAATGATAATGCCATCAATGCAATGGACCTAAATGCACCATCTCTGTAAGTTGATTTGTCTCCAGTGAAAGCCAAGAGTGGATATGGTTCATGACGCAGTAATTGAATGTTAGTTTTCTCTAGTTATCTTAAATATTTTACTTTTTTTGTGCTTTTCTCTCCACAGAAATCTGAAGGCCAGGACAATATTTGCCACAAAAACCAACTATACCAGATAGAAAAATACAAGACAAATAAAGACTCCTATGAGGTAAAGTTCATGAAAGCTCATTAAGGCACTTTGAAAGCAGACTGAACTTGAGGATCCCTGGCAATTGTGATTAAGGCTATGGGTTTCTGGACCTGTGGAGAAAAAAAAAGACCTGTGGTCTTGCCTGTGCAGGGCAAGTAATTCCCTCAATTTCTTTTTGAAGGAACAAAAAGAAACCCCCTAGGGTGGAAGTGTAAAGCTTTTATAAAGAAAATAAAAGTTCTAAATGCTCTGTTTAGCAAAATAATACAAACTTCTTCAGGGCCCTCCCTTGTTTGTTTCCGGGTTGCAAGTTGCTGGTGTTGTACAAAGGCCATAACTGTGTTGTCTCAAGACCTTGATGGTGTAGGGCAGAGAGCTTAGTGACAGCGAGGGTGTCCCTCCCTCATCACCTGGCATTCCCGGTGTCCTGAGTACTAGGAATGGTGAAACTGTATTAGAAAACTCTGCCCAGGTTAGTATTTTTTGCTTCTTAGTGGAAATGATACAGAACTAGCCCACTGTATCATGAGGGACGTGATATTGTATCATGGCCAGAGAAAGATTTAACCAGGTTACCTTTCTGCTGGTCTCCTGTCTTTTTGACCTCATCACCTGGCATTCCTGGTGTCCTGAGTACTAGGAATGGTGAAACTGTATTAGAAAACTCTGCCCAGGTTAGTATTTTTTGCTTCTTAGTGGAAATGATACAGAACTAGCCCACTGTATCATGAGGGACGTGATATTGTATCATGGCCAGAGAAAGATTTAACCAGGTTACCTTTCTGCTGGTCTCCTGTCTTTTTGACTGCAAATAGAGAAGGTAGTTTGTATGAGAAGAATACATATCAGATAAGAGGAGTTTTCTCATGGCTGGATTTTACTTCTCTGGCTGATTCTTTGCCAAGCACTAAGAGTAATATGAGCTGTGCAAGTGTTAACTACCAACACAAAACAGTATTCCTAAAGAGTATATCTAATTCAAAAGCCACTCTTCAGTGCTGGATTGATGCTCTTACTGCAGGTGCAGATTTGTATCATGCCTGGTTTTGTTTATTTTCAAGGCTTGCTTTCAGGACAAGCTGAACTGTAAGCCAGATGGACATACCAGGGCAAAATACTTACCATTCTTTTCTTACAGAAGTCAAAAGCCACCTTACCTAAAATATATCATCAGCAGTGGGTAGACTCAATGAGTATTCAAAATGCTCTTAGACAGTTCATTTCAAGCTGTTGCATGAGGCCAAGAGAGTAATGTGTGGTCTGGTTTGGTGGTGGTCCTGAAATCCCCTACACCCCTAGAAGAGAACTGGTGTTTGATTTCTGTAAGGATAATTGAAAATCTAAGAGTAAAGGCTCCCTTCAAAGCCTCTCCTGCACTAGGAGTTAGTCCCAGTGGAGGATGAGAGGGTGTAATTTCTTTCTTGAAATAGTTACCTTGATGCAATCACAGTGCAGGCACCATGATAATAATATGGTATATTCTAATTCTGCAGGGGCATGGCTGAATATAAAGCATGTTTATATCGCTTTAGCTGTATTTGCACAAGTAAGTAAGTGTGTTACACTTACTGTGTCAGGACAATTGCAGCAGCACACGTGGGTAGACACTGACCCTGGGGTGCTACTGCTGTTTGTAACCATGGCAGACACCTCTCCTAAAATGCCTGCATGTGTATGATAACACAGCCCTTGTAGTGTCTAGCTTGTGCTGCTGGGATCAGTGAGAACTACTGAGACTCCTGGATGGGGATTTCATAATCTTGGGCAGATTCCTGAGCTGCAGATAGAGTCCCCTTATCACCTCCCATTTCCAGAGGGAAACCGGGAAGCACTGGTACCTAGGCAGACACTGCACAGAGAGCATAGCTGTGTGTTGCCATGGGAATAGCAGGGAGGTAGCTGATGGTATTTCTTCCACCTCACTTCAGAGATGTGAAATAAAGGACTTCACCCCCCGGAGGGATATCCAACTGCCTGCCAGCAGCACTGCCTGTTGCTGGGGCAGGCAGCAGGGTGTGTGGGCAGCGGCCATGCCCAGCTCCTTTTCTCCATGAGGTTTCTTAACTTGGGGTGGTGGGATTGGTACGCCAGTGCTGAGGGTGCTGGGTGCTGCTGCAGGTGCTGAGTAACCAGGCTGTTTGTCAGGCTGATTTCACTTTAGTTCTCAGGGTGGGTGGGCAGCACAGGGAAGAGGGAGGAAGACAACAGTCTCTCTCTCTTCATCTCTTCTTTTTTTTATGGAGAGGCCTTAGGTGATGAGTGGTCATCCCTGCAGTGAGTATAGGGGACCAGCACTGGGGATACTTCCCTCCTGCAGGGTAGCCAGTGGGCTCAGACTCAGGGAATTTGCAATTTTTTAAGAACTTGTGTCATCGTCTTATCACTATTTTAGACATGGCCAAAGCAAATACCCTTTATCTTCCTCCCTAATCCATTGCTGGGACTGAGAGTAGGTTTTTGGGTCGAGGTCAGGACAGGAAATAGCAGAGGATGATGTCATGCCAAACCAATTCAAGTATAACCTACCGGTACAACTCCTGCATTGTGCGACATTACACGGCTGTGCACGGTACAGTGAAGAGTGAACTTTTTAACTCCCCTGAAGGAAATCTTCCTTTCATTTTAAAATATAGTAGTATGTGGCACCTTGGGAGCTTAGGATTTTGGTCGTTTCCCCTCCGAGAACCGTCGTGTAAGAGAAGCAATCTTAATAAACTTTAAAAATACTTGCAAGACTATGTGCAGCATTAATCCAGGGCAAAGTAATTCATTGCTAGCACTGGACATGTACGTTTTCTTGGGTGCTGTAACTATATGGTATGACTGTGTTACTGCTGCTTGTAAAACATAACAGCACTGTGAAGGCAAAGTCAGGGGCACTTGGCAGGTGCCTCAGAGCAGTGGTGAGGAGCTGCAGCTTGGTTCTTGCACCATTAGGCTAAAAATATTGCAGCGTTGAAACTTCCTGCATTCTCACAGATGCTGCTGCAATTTACATGCAAATTCTTTTCTCACTTTTCCAAAATAGTGGAAAGCCACTAACAATCTTGATCAGCTCCTTTAGGCTTAGTATAGTCACCACTTGGTCTCACCCTCACATGTACCTTTAAAAAAAGGTAGTTGATAGGGCCCAGACTTTGCTGAACTTGGCAGCAGAGTTTCAGTGTCTTAAGAGGAAAAACAGTCTGGTGGGCTCAAAATTAACTGTACGGCTCCCACTGACTCTATTGTTACAGGATGTTACTCACACTGCATTGTTACTATTATTGCTGTTCTTATACTGTTGTCATCAATAGTGACTGTGCTTGCCAAGATAGTGCCTGGGACTGATCAGATGTTGTGTTGTTCTAAGCACAGCACGGGCAGGGGAGGAAGAAATGCTCTGTGCCGGAGGTGTTTGCAGCCTCTAAAAGCAAGAGCAAAGACATAAGGTGAATGAAGACCTATTACATAAACAAAATGATGATAGCTCCAGAATGTGTAGGTTTGTTTCTGGAAGGATTAGCCAGCTTTAGCTAGCTAAGGGGAAGTAAGGTGGAGGAGATAATGGATGGATGGAGAGAAGACTAGGGACCAAAAACACATGTGCAAAACTGATACTGAGGTAAAGGCAGTGAGGACCTCACAGAGGGTCTCTGGTTCTCATTCTCCCAAGTCACCTAACCTCTTCTGTAAAAAAAGTAAAAACCCCAGCTCATGATTCACTGAAGCTCTTCTTTCCCACTCAGTAACTTGAGAAAATTCAAAGGTTAATTAGCCCAATGGTGCCCAGGCACTGTCTGTGCAGGGGGCTGAACTCTGAGCTGGGAATCATCAAAACGGGTGCTGTGCAGTCATTTTCTTCTTAGGGATCTTGGTATGTTTCCAGAGCTGTTTAGTGGCCCAAGAGAAGCCAAGCTGTCTTTTGTGCTTTTCTTTTCCTCTCTCACATGTATGCAAGTTACTTTGCATTTCAGCATTGTGATAAAATTCATGTCAATGAACTTTCAAAGGCAAATCATCACGAGAGCCAGCCCTTTGTCAGTGCATAATTATCAGAAAATCTACATGCCTCAGCACATAATTGGGTGAAGGAACTTCTTTGCATTTCAAAAAAAACACCTTGTAGTTACAGTGACTTTTCAGTAGGACACAGCAAAACACATTGCTTGTATGAGAATTACAACCAAGCAAAGAAAGTCACATAGATGCCCTTCTAAAGAAACAACCCCAAAGCAACCAAAACAAAAGCCCCTCTTCTTTTGGAAAGGCATCTAAAACCATACCATACAGATTTGTTCCAGACAGGTGAGAGATTCTTGAAGTCTTGGAGGGATAGAAAAATATGGGCCACAAATTTGATACCTGATTTTTGGAAGTGAATAAGACTTTTGGCTCTCCCTGAAATCAGTGGCAGGTAGAGAGTGTTATGCAGCTTGGAAAATCTAGTGATGCATGTTGAAAAAATGATACAGTTAATTTCAACTGTAGAACAGCACTTTGAAAATGTGATTCCTCTTCAGAATCCTACTCCCGGGTTCTGTTTTTCCTCTTGTCATCACTGGAGGTCAAACCAGTCTTTTAGTATATATGTGCTTGCAATCCCACCTTCAGCTACCTTCCCTGTCATGAAAAGGAGTCAGGGTTCAGTGAAGGGTTGGGTCAGTAATTCCTCCCCCCACCCCCAATGTCTTGTGCAATTGCAGAGATGTTGTAAAAGCAAGGCCCATATTCCTCTGGATCTTGTTTGGACAGAAGATAGCTGTCTCAAAGAGCTTAAACTTGTTTAAAGCTTTGCAGCTCACCTTATCCAATGTGAGAGGAAACGCAATAAAGAGAAATCAAAGACCTTTTCTTTGGTGCTTAAATAGTTGAGACAAATTTCAAGTATGGAGGAGCACAAACCTGTATCTACTTGCTCCAAGGAGGTCTCCTAGGACAAATGGCCTCTGAAGAGAAAGTTTTCCTTGTCCTTTAGTTTTCCAAAACTGACTTTCATGCTGTGTGAATGTCAGAGCAGATGGAAGCCAGGAAATCATGTCAAACAGATCAGAGAAAAACGAGACATGGAAGATTTAGTTATTCTGAGTAGGCAGGGTAAGTTCCTTGTAAGTGGACAGTTCCTAATTCGGCTTTGGTAAGTGGTGTGCTTATAAGTCTGGGGTTCATTTAAACTTCCCTTAAGTAAACCAAATTGTTCTTGTTTGTTTTACAACTTGAAGGACAAAAAACTCAAAGAACAAGAAAAGAAAGGGGAAAGTCTTCACCGTCAGCTCCCAAAGAAAACAGAGAAAAGTCCAGTTTCATATAGACAGCCTTCTTCCTGTCTTATCTCACAGATACAGAACACCAAGGCTCTGCTGAAGGACCGGAAAGTCACCAAGGCTGGAGGTTCGGAGAAAGGTCAGTGGGAGAAATACCAGTGGTTTGTCCTTGTGTGCATGTGCATGCAAGGGGCACACGCTGTATTAACCGCTGTGTCTTGTGTGGTGTGTGTTTGTTAGTATGTAGTTATGGGCTTGCATTGGCTGTCTGCTCTGGATTTGGTATGGGAAGGAGGATTAGATAACGTAGTAAAACACTGAATGAAGCATCCTGAGGAAGCCATGATGATGTTTAGCAGTCAAGAGTGCTCACTTGTACTTCCCTTTTTATTTGATAGAATTCCCACAGTGTTTTAAAAAAAGCTTTCTTTCCCTATTTATATGTGCTTATACAAAATCATCTGCACTTCACACTGGCACTTTGAAAGCATCAACACCCACCCCAGATCACTGACAAACCAAAGCTGGTAGACAAGCTTCTTCCTTCTGGGGAATGTGTTTTGCTAAGAGAGGACTAAGGGACAGCATGAGAAGAAATCACTGACCGTGAGGAGAGTGCCAGTAATGGTGACATCCTGTAGAAACTGAACAGATCTTCTCCGCGAGCTGTTTTGTTTTATGGGGCCAAATCCTGCAAAGATTGTTCCATTTATATTCAGTCCTTGCTGGAGGAAGATTCTCACTGAAGTTGATGCAGCAAATTTGTTCCAATTGGAACAGCCTGAATCTGGCTGGTAGTGCAGCTACTCCATATTTACACGTGTGAAACCAAGAACAGATTATTTTCCAGAATGCAGAGGAACACATTAGGGATTACCTCACTGTTGTCCCTTACATCTCTAGGTATGTCAATGAATACAGTACCCAGACCTGGTTAAAACCATGCAAAGCTGTGTTAAGAAAGCAGAAATGTCAGATTTCTCAAACACGGCCTTAGAGGATATAATTAATACAAACAGCTGAAGACATCTGTGGTTTTCCATTTCATGTCCTTGTCTTACTCAGTTTAAATGCTCTTCCTGCCTTTGAGGAAAGTGGCAGATAAATTACCCATGAAACAACAATGTAAGTATCAAATGAGAGCCAGGGAATTAGGTTCTGAGTATATCCCTGAGACCATTTGTTTTAGCTAATGCATTTGTCACGCTCTTCTAAAATTTGTTAAAGGTGATGTTGGAGGCTGTCTGCTGTAAGGCAAAGAAGACAGTGCTATTACTAAATGCAGTTGGCTCTTCTGGTTCCTTTTCTGATTGCTTTGCAGACTCCAGCGGTGGGGTAAGCCCTTTCCACGAACCCCTGGCAACCAAGACAGGCTGTGTCACTTCCAGCTCCCTGGAGTACCTCGAAGTCCAGCAGCCGCCCCCCAGGACCCCTCGGCTCCTCAAGAGGCAGGAGTCCCCGCAGCAGGAGCCAGCCCGGCTCGGCAGCCGGGCAAAGGACTCTCCTCTCATCCTGAATATCGTGCACTCCTTTGAGTCAGTCGACAGAGAGGACCAAATAGACCAGGTTTCCCCCTCTCATCAGTACAGGATTTTAGGCTCTCCAATGAATTTCCCTTACAAAAGCTCAAGTGAAAGGACACTGTCCCCGCTTTTCCAGCCAGGGAGTACATCCCCCATCCACCCCACCCAAGTCTCTTTCACATATGAAGAAAAAGCATATCCAACAAAAGAAGAAGCAGTGTCCCCTACTCAACTGGTTTCCAACAACCCCTTGGGCAGCCCTAACTGTGTTAAAAGCAGAGGCAGATTCCCCATGATGGGGATTGGACAGATGCTGCGGAAGAGGAACCAGACGATGCAGTCGGCAAGCGACAAGCCACTGGAAGCAAGGATGCCTCAGCTGCAGCAGATGAGCCCCACGCAGATTTCCTTCAATGCAGCAGATGCTGTCAGCGGCCAGTGTTAGTCTGACATCCTGGGATTTGCACTGCTGTTCTCTGGAACCTAACCTTTTATACTTTTAACAAGAAGGGAAAGCCACAGACATGTTACTATCACTCTGTAATACACTACAGTGGTCCAAAGCAGAAAATCAGAGATCTGCTCGGAAGGAAAGAATTGTCCTGTGTATTAAAGCTGAAATACAGGGGCTCAGCTTGTGCTGTTAAGAAATATTAGCATTTGGCATCTGACTATACAGTAAAACATGTCTTGAAAGAGCTGCATGACTATGTATTTTTGCCACTTTCTCTAGATTGGGAAAGCAGCAAGCGTTGATGGTTTGATTCATCAAGGTAATTGCGTGGTGCCGTGAATGCCAGTCCCATCCAGGAGTTGTGGTAAGACTGTGTGTCCTCCATCTGCCTGTACCACACAGTACCTCATACTGCTACAGGCATTATTCACATGGCTAGACAAGTGGAAAAAACTCAAGATACTATGTCCAAAGTCAACTTGCTAACAAGTACTGCCAAGAAGATGAAGCTGGTAGAAGCCTGAATAAAGGCACAAGTGATCTAAACACTCAGAAGAAGCCGAGGTACTGGAAGCCAAAGCAGATTTTACTGGTAATTACATGAAGTAGCTAATAACAGAATCAGTTTTTTCCTAAAGAAGATCAGGATTTAATGATGTCACTCAGAAGAAACATGATTATTTCAAAACAAGTTTCATCCCACGGAAATGTACCGTGCTGGAGTCCTGTTCCTTTCACATGGTGGGTCTGCGAGTCAATGCTTCAAGCAGTAATGCGGATTGCAACATTTTGTGTTTTAATACTCCCGCCACCTCTGATTTTTGTAGCCGTACCAGTCCCACACATGTTAGCCCCCGTTACAGCATTGGACACACCTGAAGGCTTTTCTGAGAGACTGCAGTGAATTAAAAAGACTAATAAATGACACATGAACCTGTACCAATGCCATTTTATACTGGAAGATTGGTAATGCAGTGGTTACCAAAAATTCTGTATTGTTACGAGCGGTGAAGATTAACTTTCTTATAAGGCACCATGTTCTGCATACCAGTCTTGTTTTTCTAAGTAAATGTTACATCTGAGAGCTTGGCAGCGTTTTTTTGGTTCTGTTTTTGTCTTCAAATCATTTCCTATAAATTAGAAGGTTTAGCCAAAGACTTCTCTTCTCTTTCATTCTCACTGCGCTTGTGTATGTGTTTGTGTGTACAGGGCATCTCCACAAAGCTTGTTCCAGTCTGGTTCCCAAGCAGGCAGCCCTGGCCTGTGTGTGCCCCACTGCCACCCCAACTCACTTAATGCTGTTTCAAATCCCAGGCAACAGAGGCATTGTCTTCTTCTTAGGGTTGTTATAAGACAAGGATTTTGCGTCGAGACCATCAGTAGGAATCCATGCCCTGTTTTTATCAATGTTTTTGCAAAGGATTTTATGGCCCCATTGCTTTGGTGTCTGTGCAAACTTTGAAAAGCTTTCCTTCCAGTTTCATAAGATACACAGGGACTGGGGGTGGAGGGACAACAGAGGCAAGGGAGAAGGTCCCCAGTAGAAACCACAGCTGAGCGTGGGTTCCCAGTTCTCAGTCTTACACCAAAATCTGCAAAAAAATTGGACATTAAACCAGATACTGAGAGAACAGATAACTGGACTGCTTAGTAGTTGGAATGCTTGCTGGCAAAGCCAGCAGAGCATGAATGCCCAGAGCACCCTTCTCATCCCTGCAGATGGGACCTTCACCTCGGCACTGAAGCTGCCTGTCAGTTCTGTATGGGGGTGTCCATATGCATCTTGTACTCCACAGTGTAGATAGGACACCTGCCTCTGGGGTAGTTAAGCCACCTGTAAAATAATCCACACAAAAATCCCAGTATGCTAAGACATCCCTGAAATAATTTTAATCATTTCCAAATTGAAAAATGTCATCTTCTGTTTGTAAAGAGCACCTCTGTGTCCCAGAGATCTATTTTATCTCTCCCTCATGTTTTAAATACATCAAAGCATTTTCTTTTTCTTCACACTGAACATGTTTGCACTGCAAATCTAGTGAGCAGGGACCACTAAAATCCCATCTTTTGCATGCATCAGGCTTGAGTACCTGAACAGATGGCAGATACTGACTTGAATTGCAAACTCAGGTTTATTTGGAACCCAATAAAAGGTTGAGGGAGGTGGGAAAGAGACATATAATTTTGTGTGTGTGTGAAAACCCAGTAAATATGTGTGAAAATCAGAATGAAAACAGAAATGTTAAATCTTTTATTATATTTATAGAGAATATATGAGTACTAGACTGCTAAACCATAACCATGTATCCAGCTTAGACAGTAGCTATGTACAGTCAAACTGCAGTGACCATAGTAGGGACTTACTTAAATACAGTAGTGGAAATCCCAGGGGGAAAAAAAAAATTGTATTTGTTATCATTATTAAATATATGTACTTTTTTAACAAGATTGCCATGGACTTCTGACTTTGTTTGCCAGGTCACTATATAGCAAGGATTATCTAAGTACAAAGACAACCAGCAAAATGGTGAGGTGACAGGAGGATTACCAGCACCTTTACCTTTACCCCTCAAAGACTAACCCCTTTGAATCTGGCTGCTGATCTGCCTGTAAACCCTGAGTGACCTAAAAGGCACAAGGGGAGATTTCACTTGCTTAATTGGAGCCCTCTGCAAGTAGTGCATCTAGCCCTCTGGTCATTATCCATGCTCTGTCACCAGTGGAGCCTGATAGGTATCTCCAGTTCTTCCCATCTTAAAAATTATGGGAATTAATTGCTCCTCAACAACACAGCTATATCCAGATACAAGCGAGGGAATAGGGTTGGCCAGTTCAGATGAAAACGTAGCTTTTAAACGGCCATAATATAAATAAAATACCACAGCCCAATAGAACCAAAAACATTTACTGGTGAGCTTTCTGCTTCTCTGGAATTAATGTCTTCAAGTTGTAGGGACTAGCCCTACCTTCCTAAGCATAGCACAGCCATGCAAATTGGCAGTCAGACGTAGCTTCAGTTGGAGCATTGCTGATGTTGATCCCACAATCCTTTTAAGTACTGTTTTCTTCCTCCTCCTACCTTTATACAAATCTGTTTCCTAGAATAACTGATCCAAAGACCTCCAAAATCAGCTGAGGTATTTTTTTTGATGTTTGCATAGGCTTGGCACCGAGCCTGTAATGAACCTGTTTGAAATATGCCTTATACGTCAGGTTGTGAATTGAGAAGAGCACTGCAAGGTTTGGATGCAAGTTGGAAGCTTTACAGGTCCCTTCTGAGGTGTTGTTTACTTGCAGAACCCAGTGGAGCAGCTGTGAAGCACTTAAGGAGGGTTTTGCAAACTAGCTGATCACAGGACAGCAGTTCAGGATCCATAGTGATACAAGTGGTCCTGTTCAGGCTCTTCTGCCTAGAAAAATTTCTTCAGCAAATCAAAGAACACAAATCAGTATCTCTTACTAAAGCTGTTGGTCTTTGTACCTGTCCTGTAAATGGGCATATAAATATTAAAATTTCCAAGTATACATACTTAAAAATCCTGCAAATAAGTAACAGTTACTTTCATACTTTTGCACTTAACATTGCTTGATCTTCGCAAGAAAACCATTTAGTGTGTAGCTGCAAAATGGTTGGGTTGGATTTGCAGGGTTCTTTTAAGTTTCCAATGCACCAATAAGATGGTTTGCCAGCCACTCCCTGGACACAGATCAGCACGAATCTGCTCAGGCCAGCTATGTGGCTATGGGTAATACATGAAAAAAGGGAAAGGAGAGGAGGGAAGACTCAGTGGTTAGCATAGCTGTGCTGTTCTGCTGAGCAGACCTCATGTCGTTGTCAGAGCTGGAGGGCGGTGGATAAATTCTTGGCTTGTTGCTGAGTCTGGGGCTACTGCTTATGGTAAGGGAGTTTTAGGGTGGCATGGATATACCCCCTCCACAGCTAGTGTGACAAAACCCTCCAACCCAAGGGGAAGCTACCCCTTAGTTTCTTCATTTGTACTTTAAACATTACAGTGTGTAGCACCCCGAACTCCTAAGGGCCTTGCTTATCAAGAAGTAAAACGTTTCAGAGGTACTATTGCTGTGTGCAGGAGGAGTCTGGAGTCTGCCTGCCTCTTCTCTGCTTTTTTAATACTTGCTGGTCAATTTTCTCTTTTGTTTCCCCTTCCATATAGCTTCCCTGGAGCATAACAAAACTGCTGGGTACAGCACCGGGGCCTATATTTCCTATTAAAAAGTTATCGTAGCAGTGTAGACTGAGAGTTACAAATCACTCGTGCAGAAATACAGCGTGTGGCGAGTTCATTACTAGGTGTGACTCCTACGGTCTTTCAGCAAGCTCTTTTTCTCCTGGTTACACCACTTGTTTGCGTCGGAGGCAGCCTCAAGCAGGAATAGTGTGGGGGAATACGGGCAGAGGGTTCAACTTTATGTCATCGCTTCTCATTGAGAGAAATGTTCTCCCTCAGAAGTGAATGACTGTCTTAAGTGCAGCAGGTTTGCTGTCAAGAGAGCTGCTTGAGCATTGATTCCTTAGCCACGTACATTGGCATGTGTTTCCCAGGGCATGTTTGCATTACCTGTAATTGTCTTCCACAATGATGCCTCGCAGATGTATGTAGGGGGAGGTCAGGCCGAATAATTTTGAGCCTTTTCAATCTTTAATATCAAAAGAAGCTTGTCATATGATGCTTTCTGTTACTGAGGTCCAGGCAACTAGCTGCTGTTAGAAACAAAAGGTATGAGGATAGAGCCTATAGTAGCATTTGGAGTTTACCCAAGCATTCCTACTCTGTGACTGCTTTTGTCAGGGCAGCGAAATGCCCAAAAGAGAAGAAATAAGAAGAGATTTACTAGTTGAATGTGAGGCAATTTAAAATGTTTGTTAATATCTAAAAACACGACTGCTGCGTTTTGAGATATGAATCATAAAGAAACACATTTATTACTGTTTGTATGAATAGCACCTTCTACCTATAAATGTGAAAACC